TAATAATAATAGAGCCATAGATCAGAATAACCAAAGAGACACACAGCATAATGATGCGTTTATTTGGAATGTGAATGGTACATGCTGACGTACCAGATATTCATATATTTTTCTGCTGAAAAGAGCCATATGTCATAATAGGACAAACGTTACGGCAGCTGTAGGAGCCCTAATGTCATCCTTAAAGAGACTGTTGATTTTGTGGTGAAAGACTCGTTTCATGTCATTCAGCGGAACTCGGAGTGAAGTTTATTTAATTATTACATTCAGCTAGTTCATTATCCATAATTTGCACAGTATGTGCTGATGAACTGTATTTTAAATGCTGTTGCATTCAAGCTGTGTTCGGGAAAGGCAGTGGTGGTGCACTTTACAAGAAGGTCCGTATGCAAGACACTGCGAGACAATTGTTTTAAGAATCTGTGAGTAGCATTTCATGTGACCTGAGAGAGAGATCTTTTTTTTTTTCTTTTTTTACGTTCCTCAGTCATTGAGCCGTTACCATTATGAACCAAAAGACCATGTCAAGTGTCTAATGGATATTCATAATAAACTTAAGGAAACTCTGGATTTGAGTGTCTTTTAATTTTGTTGAAGTATAGAACACTAAGATTGATCCCGTGTTGAGTTACAGCAAATTAAAGTCTGCTGCTGTATTGATATGTTACTCTTTGGGGCGGCAAAAATTATAATTAGTTTTTTTTTTTGAAGTCATGGTGAAATGGAAGTAGAGGTCTGTCTTTTCTACTGTATTGTGATGCATGTCCAAGTGAAACAGATTACCGAAAAAGAAAAAAAGTAGTTTCAATCAATTGTGATGAGTTTGGCATAGAAATATGTATAATCATTATAAGAAATGCCCATGAAGCTATAAGATTTTATTAATTTACAAGACTTTTCCAGGCCTAGAAGAAAAACAAACAGTTGTCCAAGGGGATCAGTCAAAACAAGTATATTCATTTTTAGTTAATTAACAATTTAATGCTGGTTTTGTCTTGTTTTAGATAATTTTAAGTCGTCCTGAAGCCCCCTGGTTGAGAACCACATATCTAAAGCCAAACATTTCATAGGGCTTAAAAACGTAAGAGTAAAAAAAGCTGTAAATAAAGATTATTAGAGTACGTTTTACAAGAAAATGCTTGTAAATATCGGTATACTTCAAAATATCACATTTGACTTAATGTGTTACTTGCCATTTATTATTTGTGAAATTTACTAGCAGTGTCTGAGCGAAAACTGTTCATTGTGTTGAAGTATTAAAAAGTGAACAGAACAAATATAACTCTACTGACTAAAATACATGTGCATTAGCATAGTAATCATTACATTCTGGAGTAATATCAATACTCAGGGACAAACACACACACACACACACACACACAACGCACACATTCCCTTACATTCCAAAAAAGTTCAAACATTGTCCAGGTGCTTGAAAGAAGAAGAAGAAGAAAAATGTATGTTACAAGTCCTATGTAACATAAATATGTAAAATACAAACACTTTCATTAAAAAAAATAATAAAAATCAAAAGAAGACGCTACACATTGCAAAAGCACAAAATGGAGTGTAAACCTAAGCTAGAATGAGGGAAAGGGCTTTAAGGTTGATTGACCCCAAAATGATTGATAAATGCATTAAATATTGTTTTAAAAAAAACAGAGACAAGTATACTTAAGGCTAGCATTAACAAAGGGTGACTACTGTGCACCAGTCAAAATCTCACAGGCCAAATATTCCACAAAAGCCTTATTGTACAGTTGAATGGTTTAAAAATAGCACCACATTTTGTGGGGCCATAAAAGAATGTAAATGCTCCATGAATAAAAACAATAAAATGTGCAAAATATACAGAGCTGTGCTCTGCAATAAGCAAATCAGTCTGGTGGGGATAATGACCTGTGTTGAAAAAGACATACTTGTAGCTTTGAATCACCTAGACCAAACTGCATTTGATAAGAATTAAGACGTTTCCTGGAGCTATGAGGAAATTCTACAATTAAAACATTTGATTTTGAAATTTAAAAAGACAAGATAAACAGGATAAAAACAAAACATTTCACTGTATATGTACATGGTGGATCTGTAGTGTAAGAAGCGGCTGTTTTTAACAGTAAACAAATCTCAGGGTTCATGTGGAGCAGTTGCATAGACAAATATTCAGTACTTAAATTCCCTTCAAACACTCAAGCCTGTTAGGTCTATACACAGTTTTATGGTAATGAGCTGGAAAGCTCAATGGTTTATCTATGGAAACCAATGTCAATTATCTATCATACTACAAAATATAGGTTATCCATGGTCAGTTTAGTGTGCCATCATAAATTTACGCTCCAAGATACTGTATACATGGATTATAAAACAACACAAATAGAGTGCTTCACTGTGTGTTCAAAGTGTAATGTTCAAAACCCAAGCATCTTGACATTTACAAATCTGACACATCTACTCGCCTATAAAAGACACTTAAGCCAATTGAATGTTAAAGCAAAATACAATTAAAACAGCACCTAGACTGAGCAGTGAGGATGCATTATATCCAATGTAGTTGTCACAGGCACATTTAAAGGTTTGTTTGTCAACCAAGTCTTATCTTCCACCCAGTGTTGTGAGTTCACTGAAATCTTCTATCTGATTTCCTTCTCCCAGCGCAGGGTGCTGTTGGTGCATCTAGGTATCTTTATGATCCACCTGTACAGGCTGTCTGAAAAAATGCTCCCAGTGCATATAGCTCGTGTTCAGACTCATTTCATAGTTAGATTGAGCTGACCCATTTCACTCCAAGACACCAGTTTTGTGATCAGCATAAACATGCACCTCTATTGTATTGTCTCTAGGAGGGAAACCTAATATGACTTGTTTCTCTTCTTTAAAGATAAAAGTACTTGTCAAGAGTCATTTAATCTATAAAACTGAAAAGTAACAAAAATGTAAGGCACAAAAGAAGGCATTCCCACATGCTCTTCACTCCCAGATAAAATCATCTTGATTGCCTCTGACATATTAGTGTCTTTTTGCCACTTAAGGAGTCATGTAAGCCCTTGTAACATGCCTCAAGCTCTGTGTTTCATCAAAAACCATGTAGATACAACCTTAGATTCCTAGAGGTGAATATTGGTTATACAAATGTTCTCTGTGACAAAATGGCAGTGCCTTTCAACCTCTATAGTCATGACCTTGCTGAATATGTAGTTTTCTCAACTGAATTCCATATATAAAAGAGAGGTTATTTTCTACAACTCCATTATTAGGTTGAATACTTCCACTATTTAAAACTCCATCTACACAAGGAAGAGTGGTGAAAGATGCCAAACCTCTGAGGTCATAAATCATAGTTCCTCTCACTTCTGGGACATGGTCGAATGCAACTCTTGCAGGTTGAGATTTAACACTAACTGCATCTAGTAGGTTGTCAAAAGGACTGGCGATTACAAACCCAGATCATCATCCACAGGGACAGACTGTAGTTGTGTAAGAATTTTCGAGTCCCCATCCATGTCCTCCACCTCATCCAGCTGAGAATCTCTCTCCACATCTTCGCCTGGAGGAGGAGTGCCCAACAGGAGGGACTCTCCGCCTGGCAAGCCCAACAAAGCAGGGTCCTCTGGAAGATCTCCTTTCCCACGCATGTCAAATAATGTCAGACCAGCAGAGGAGGACAGTGGGACAGGGCTCCAGACTAGCTGGGAGAGGTGGGGGCCAGTTGCCACACCGCTACATATTGGACTGAGTGGTAGCATGCTATCAGGGCAAAGGGTCTGCTGGGATTGTAGGACACTTGCAGGAGTGGGAGTGCTGGAAGAGTCTGGGGTGTTAGGAGAGGCTCCTGGGGTTGGGTTGGCAATTGTCCCTGGCTCAGGGCTGCAGTAAAGTGTAGAGGAGCCAACAAACCCCAAAGGAGTATTCAGTACTTCAATTCCCTTCAAACACTCAAGCCTGTTAGGTCTATACACAGTTTTATGGTAATGAGCTGGAAAGCTCAATTGTTTATCTATGGAAACCAATGTCAATTATCTATCATACTACAAAATATAGGTTATCCATGGTCAGTTTAGTGTGCCATCATAAATTTACGCTGCAAGATACTGTATACATGGATTATAAAACAACACAAATAGAGTGCTTCACTGTGTGTTCAAAGTGTAATGTTCAAAACCCAAGCATCTTGATATTTACAAATCTGACACATCTACTCGCCTATAAAAGACACTTAAGCCAATTGAATGTTAAAGCAAAATACAATTAAAACAGCACCTAGACTGAGCAGTGAGGATGCATTATATCCAATGTAGTTGTCACAGGCACATTTAAAGGTTTGTTTGTCAACCAAGTCTTATCTTCCACCCAGTGTTGTGAGTTCACTGAAATCTTCTATCTGATTTCCTTCTCCCAGCGCAGGGTGCTGTTGGTGCATCTAGGTATCTTTATGATCCACCTGTACAGGCTGTCTGAAAAAATGCTCCCAGTGCATATAGCTCGTGTTCAGACTCATTTCATAGTTAGATTGAGCTGACCCATTTCACTCCAAGACACCAGTTTTGTGATCAGCATAAACATGCACCTCTATTGTATTGTCTCTAGGAGGGAAACCTAATATGACTTGTTTCTCTTCTTTAAAGATAAAAGTACTTGTCAAGAGTCATTTAATCTATAAAACTGAAAAGTAACAAAAATGTAAGGCACAAAAGAAGGCATTCCCACATGCTCTTCACTCCCAGATAAAATCATCTTGATTGCCTCTGACATATTAGTGTCTTTTTGCCACTTAAGGAGTCATGTAAGCCCTTGTAACATGCCTCAAGCTCTGTGTTTCATCAAAAACCATGTAGATACAACCTTAGATTCCTAGAGGTGAATATTGGTTATACAAATGTTCTCTGTGACAAAATGGCAGTGCCTTTCAACCTCTATAGTCATGACCTTGCTGAATATGTAGTTTTCTCAACTGAATTCCATATATAAAAGAGAGGTTATTTTCTACAACTCCATTATTAGGTTGAATACTTCCACTATTTAAAACTCCATCTACACAAGGAAGAGTGGTGAAAGATGCCAAACCTCTGAGGTCATAAATCATAGTTCCTCTCACTTCTGGGACATGGTCGAATGCAACTCTTGCAGGTTGAGATTTAACACTAACTGCATCTAGTAGGTTGTCAAAAGGACTGGCGATTACAAACCCAGATCATCATCCACAGGGACAGACTGTAGTTGTGTAAGAATTTTCGAGTCCCCATCCATGTCCTCCACCTCATCCAGCTGAGAATCTCTCTCCACATCTTCGCCTGGAGGAGGAGTGCCCAACAGGAGGGACTCTCCGCCTGGCAAGCCCAACAAAGCAGGGTCCTCTGGAAGATCTCCTTTCCCACGCATGTCAAATAATGTCAGACCAGCAGAGGAGGACAGTGGGACAGGGCTCCAGACTAGCTGGGAGAGGTGGGGGCCAGTTGCCACACCGCTACATATTGGACTGAGTGGTAGCATGCTATCAGGGCTAAGGGTCTGCTGGGATTGTAGGACACTTGCAGGAGTGGGAGTGCTGGAAGAGTCTGGGGTGTTAGGAGAGGCTCCTGGGGTTGGGTTGGCAATTGTCCCTGGCTCAGGGCTGCAGTAAAGTGTAGAGGAGCCAACAAACCCCAAAGGAGATGATTGTAGTGAATTCGAGGTTTGAGCAGTGAGTAAAGGTGCTGGTTGATTCTCAAGTGGATGTACAGCGGAGGATTGAGGATCAAGGGTACTGTTGCTTGAGACCAAATTGTCTGGGACGGACTTGACAGGCATGCTGGCGAACTGGATGCCAGCTGGGATAGTGAGGATGAGTTTGCCATTTTGAACACTTAGGATGGGGCTGCCCCCAATGCCACCTGCAAGTAGGATGTTGCCTGGATACAAAAACAGAATAAATACATCTGATTTCAGAACAAAACAAACAACTGTTTTCCACTGCTAGAGAAATTCTTTTTGTGACCTACCTGGAGAGGAGGTAGGTAGCTGAATCACCCCAGAGTTGAGAAACTGAACACCTGGGATGGTACCAGTAGGGACACTCTGAGGAGGACCTATTGGGCTAAGGCATATTGGTCCCTGGGCAACACTCAATCCTGTTCCAGATCCAGACGTCACAATCTGGAAAGCACCTCCATGGGACGGAATGGAAAGAGATGGAGTTGCTGGGACCACCTGAGGGAAGGACAGGGTTCCAGTTGGAGTTCCCGCAACGGATGACACAGGCATAAGTTGAGGCAGTGACAGGGGGACCAGCTGAGGTTGGCTTGAGTCTTTGGTTTGGGATATGGGCACAACTTGAGTCGGGGAGGAGATGGGAATGACTTGTGTTCCCATGGAGGTCTGTATCTGTGAAAGGGTGGCTGAAGTAGATTTGTCTCCTAGCTGAGGTGTAAGCACTTGTGTAACTTGTCCATCGGCCATCTGGGGGAGTGATAAAGCACTACTGGTACTGGTAAAAAAGCCATTTTGGGGCTGTGTTTGCACAAGTCTTGGACCGATGTGCAAGGTCTGTGTCTGAAATTGAGGAATGGTGACTTGGGGTAACTGTGAATTCACTGGGGAGACTGGAACAAGCTGTGGGCAAGATGACACTGTGGACCCAGATGGATGCTGCATCAGTTGAGAAACTGGAACGCCCTGTATTGATGGTACCACCTGGGGTAAAGAGTAAGACAGCACCTGAGGACTAGAGAAGGAGCTGCGAGTTGGTGACTGAGACTTGGCTTTTCCTAATACAACAATTTCAGGTGGCTGTGTGGGCTGTAGTGGCACCAAGGGGCTGGAGATGACAGAAGTAGACATGGTGGGCGAGGACATTAAGTTTGTAGGCAGTGACTGAGTGTTATCTGGATTCTTCAAGGCCTCTGGAAGACTGATGAAATCCAAAGGAGAGACGTTGCTGCTGGCTGTTTTTGCGTACTCGCTAAGCGAGAGAGGTATTGTACTAGTTAAACTGGCTTGTGGATTCAGAACCACAGTGGGCAGGCTGCCTTGGGCCTCTATATCATTGATGCCCCGTTCACCTTTGGAGATTACTTGAGCCCCGTTTAGTAGCAATGGTGCATTAGCTGTAACAGGACTGAGAGTGACTGTGTGGCCATCGCTCAGTGTCAACCCATTGATGATGACCCCCGTTCCTGCCCCCGAGAGTATAGGGCTCCCACTGAGCAGCAGTGGATGAGAGCTTGTAAGGAATCCCCCAGTGCTGTTGAGAATAATCTGACCAGTACTGCAAGGAGCACCAGAGTAAGATATAAGGGAAGCATTGGAGCTGACTGTCTCTTGTGCAGAAGGTTTGTCAGCAATATCCTCCAGATCTCCCTTACTGGCTTCATCTTCTGTGCTGTGGTTTCCATCAGATTCACTAAAGAAAAGACAGAAACATTACATTTGGTCAAACAGTCTAGATGTAGTTTCCATGAATGTCTACCATCCATCAATTACCAATCATTCAAAACTTTTTTGACAGCTGTATCAATAGAGGAGAAACCTAAATTATTTACAAACCAGACCCAGTGAAGCTTGTGGTTCAACAGAAACCAGCCAACTTGCACCGCATGGTTACTGACACTCTTCTATGTGTACACTTGTAAGACATGCTCAGAGTAGTTGCAGGCATTAAGATTCATTCATTTTTTAAATCAACACGTGCACCAGTCACCATGTTTAAGTGCTGCTATGAGCAAATGACAGAATAAAAAGAGTGGATTCACATATATACAACGGCTCCTGAATATTTATGGAGCTTATATTATGACAAAACTATTTGAATTTGTATTGTATAAATTTGAATTATTGACAAGTGGCATTTATCAAAACTGAATATTATGTGGCATTTAACATAGTTCAGAATTGTATTTTATTTGAACATTTGAAATTTAACACAATTGAATTTTTTTACAGCAGAGTCTTATAGACATGCATTTTCAAACAGCAAATTTTTTGTTCTGAATTATTTGATTGCAAATATCCCGTTTTTAAAAATACAGCTTCATGTTTTCAAGATGAAGAGGAAATTCAGAACATCAAATTCAATATTCTAAAATTCAATACGCAGAAATTCAGATCGTACAGAAAGTAGGTCAGAGGTAATCCACAGGGAAGAGCAGATGAACTCTGAAAAGTTAAGCAAAGCATTTTGGCCTATTAGTAGTTTTCTGGCGTTCAGATCAGGTTCACACTCCAGTCCAGTAGGTGGCGGTAAATGCACCTTTAAGTTGGTTTGCCAACCGCCAATAAAATTAAAAGAAGAAGATGATCAGGTTGATCTACCTGATCATGAATCGCCCAGAGGTATCCTAAGGGATTCTTAAACATTTATGGTTTATATTTAGGCCTATATGTTAGGTTAGCATTCTCAGCATGTAAAACATTTATCTAAGCGGTCTCTGGTGTTTGTTTTAAAGTATATTTGGTGTGAAAGTGATTAGCATGCCACCGTGTCTAAACACGGATGCGAGCGAAAGCAAAAAAGACAGTAGAGCCCATTGATTATAATCAGTGATATTTCCTACACTGAATGTGGCGCGGTGCAACACCATGGCTGTGTTTGAAATGGCATACTTGCTTACTGCTTACTTCCCAGTACACAGTGCATACTGCCTACTATTTTTTTAAAGAATAGTGTGAAACAGTATACAATAAGCAATAAATGTTTCAGAGTAGAATGCTTAAGTGCTGTCACATGACAAACACTGAACATTAATTCAGCACAGCTGTCAAGGTTGTTACCTTAGAAACAAATGAGCTAACTGTTCTTTTTACAAAGGCTTGTTAATAAGGCTTCATGCTAGTAAACAATGCTATATTGCCCAATTGAACTAATTTCATAATTGATTAACTTTACATATTGAGCTGTTTTTATTGATATTTTTGGTAGTTACACCAATGCCGAGTTCACACTGCACGATTTTAGCCCGATTTTTCACTCGCCGACAGGTTTTGTGAAATCGCCGACAAATGCCCGACATCGGAGGCAAATCGGTGCTCGTTCACGGGAGTGACAATCACGCAGTGTGAATTATCAAAGACGCGATCTGAGAGAATCGCGATGCGTCACCGACGCCCGCGAAATATTTGGCATGCTAAATATCTGAAGCTGTCGGCGATTCACAATCCTGCTGTGTGAAATGAGTTCTGACTGAAAAACACATCGGCGATGACCTACAGCCAATGAGAGACCAAGATACAGGGCAGAGGGAAGTTCGGGGAGGAGTTATAGACCAGAATATCAGTATTTTAAAACCAGCCACAACATCAGCATAACTATTTACAAAATGATTTACCTCCAACTCTCTTTGCAGAACATGCACCCAATCCCTGTTCCCTGCATCTCTCTCCTGCATAATCTGTTTTTCTTTTTCTCCTTCTAGCTGGAAATCAGCTCACAGACAATTTGCGGGCTATATATATATATATATATTTTTTTTTTTTAATAATTACAGTCTTGCTCGGGAGAACTCCTGTCTGACGCACGCGGGTTCTCGCATTTTTTCCTTATCACTTCTCGCGTGTGTTTTGTTGTGAAACGTAGTTTGCGGACCAGACAGAGCTGTCGGCGATTCTTCCTGGCTGTGTTTGAAATGGCATACTTGCTTACTGCTTACTTCCCAGTACACAGTGCATACTGCCTACTATTTTTTTAAAGAATAGTGTGAAACAGTATACAATAAGCAATAAATGTTTCAGAGTAGAATGCTTAAGTGCTGTCACATGACAAACACTGAACATTAATTCAGCACAGCTGTCAAGGTTGTTACCTTAGAAACAAATGAGCTAACTGTTCTTTTTACAAAGGCTTGTTAATAAGGCTTCATGCTAGTAAACAATGCTATATTGCCCAATTGAACTAATTTCATAATTGATTAACTTTACATATTGAGCTGTTTTTATTGATATTTTTGGTAGTTACACCAATGCCGAGTTCACACTGCACGATTTTAGCCCGATTTTTCACTCGCCGACAGGTTTTGTGAAATCGCCGACAAATGCCCGACATCGGAGGCAAATCGGTGCTCGTTCACGGGAGTGACAATCACGCAGTGTGAATTATCAAAGACGCGATCTGAGAGAATCGCGATGCGTCACCGACGCCCGCGAAATATTTGGCATGCTAAATATCTGAAGCTGTCGGCGATTCACAATCCTGCTGTGTGAAATGAGTTCTGACTGAAAAACACATCGGCGATGACCTACAGCCAATGAGAGACCAAGATACAGGGCAGAGGGAAGTTCGGGGAGGAGTTATAGACCAGAATATCAGTATTTTAAAACCAGCCACAACATCAGCATAACTATTTACAAAATGATTTACCTCCAACTCTCTTTGCAGAACATGCACCCAATCCCTGTTCCCTGCATCTCCCTCCTGCATAATCTGTTTTTCTTTTTCTCCTTCTAGCTGGAAATCAGCTCACAGACAATTTGCGGGCTATATATATATATATATATTTTTTTTTTTT